GTGGTTACATTGTCAAGATCAATCTCCTTGATCATGTCGTCGAGTGGTGTATCACATAGACCAAACTCTGTGCAAGCTGACTGAAGCTCATCGATTGTGATATATCCGCTCCCGTCTTTGTCAAAGTATGAAAATGCAGCCACCAGATTCTCCTCTCTCTCCATCTTGTTCATGTGTAATGTCGCTGCTAGGAATTCTCCGTAGTCTATTGTACCGCTGTTGTCGATATCCGCCTGTGCCCAAAACACACGGTTTTTTTAAGTCCAATGATGTTTATTTAAACAAAACTGCGATAGGAGAAAGAGAGTTTGTTATTAATAATACCGCGTCCATAAGAGACTTGATTTCTGATTCCATCAGTTCGGATCCGACTCTCTTCAAACCAGCCTTGAGCTCTTCAAAGGTAATCGTCCCACTGTTGTCTGTGTCTATCATTTTGAACAGTTCCTTCAGACCTCCAATTTCTTCCTCTGAAAGTCTCTCAGCAATCACCTACCGGAAAAATCACTTATGTTCAGAGATATTCGCAAACGGATTGGACATAAAGAAAAAGTTGAATGTATAATTTACCCTTAAGGCCATCTTTTTAATCTTATTCATTTGCGAGAACTGCTTTAGTCGAGATAAGACTGCTGGATCAAGAGGCTTGTCCGGTGCCGCATGTTCGTCCACAATCCATGGGTGACCTATAACATTGAGAGCAAACTCAATATTAACGAATAATCAAATAAGAAGACGAGTTGGTTCCAAATGAACAACCAAAATAAAACATACACAAGGCTTCATGAGCAGAAATGCGTTTCTTGGGGCTCCTTTCAAGCATTTTGTTGATCAAATCTTTAGCAGCTTCTGAGATACTAGGCCACGGGTCAGATTTGAAATCTAACTTCCCTTGTAATATCTGTCTAAAGATTCCAGACTCGGTTTCTGCAAGCCCCCAAGACAAAGGGATGCATCATCATTCAAACAAAAAACTCGAAACTTGTAAGTAAAAAAAGACTTGAGTTTTTTCTATAGACTAACCTGCCCAAAAGGGAGGAACACCGCTAAGTAAGATGTAAAGGATAACACCGGCGCTCCACACATCTATCTCAGGTCCATAACATTTCTTTAGAACTTCCGGTGCAACATAGTAAGGACTTCCAACTACGTCGTAGAGATATTGTCCTGAAGAGCAAAAAAAAAAACAAAACCAATTAGGCAATGAACCAGAGCATTGGCCATACCTATCTGCTAGTATTGAGTGAATCACAGATCCAAGCCACACAAATGCAGAATCATTACAATGAAGAACCATCTACACAAGCAGCAATGTTTCCTTTCCTAACAAAGAAACAAAACTAAAGCAACACAATTTTGGGATTCCATGAAACAGATCATCACATACCCAGAAGCCCTTATTTCGATTTTCCAATTCAAGAGACGAAAAAGGAGAAACCTGTTTCTTTCTATCAAGAAACCTGGTATCAAGATTGGTGATTGGATAATCGAAAAGCAAACCTGGCTTGTAGAAGACAGACAAACCAAAATCGGTGGCCTTGAGCTTAGCATCTTCCTTAGGGCTATCAAACAAGAAATTCTCAGGTTTGAGATCTCTATGCATAACACCAAGAGAATGACAAGCCTCAACAACGCCTAAGATGGTCTTAATAAGCTTAACCGCCTCTCGTTCGCTGAAATGACCCTTTGAGACAATCCGATCGAAAAGCTCTCCACCTTCACAAACCTCCATAACGATGTGAACGAAGACGGAATCTTCGTAAGTACCCTTGATCCGAACAACATTTGGGTGTTCGGAAAGATGATGCATGATCTGAATCTCTCGCCAGACATCCTCGTAATCTTCACGGCAAACGAGCTTGCGCTTGGGGATTGATTTGCAGGCGTAATTGGAGGAGGTAGACTTCTCTGTGCAGAGATAGGTGGTTCCGAATTGGCCTTGGCCTAGCTTTTTACCCAGAAGGTAGTGATCTCTCAATCGAGGAGTCTGGTAAGGAAGAACAGTGTTGGAAGGTCGTTTAGGGTTTGGTTTCTCCATTTTTGCGATCTCGATTTCAATTTCTGTGGAGAAGACGAAGACGATGATGATGTTAACGGACTTTTTCTTTGCTCCAAGAACCAACGATCCTTGATTCCTTCCCTCTTCTCCATGTTTTGACTCACTCTTATATCCA